AAAAAAAGAGAGAAACAGAATTAAATACAGATGTGACCTTTGCATTATTGCAGTCTCTACCTGTTTCCCTTCATGTGTTTGGGTGATTGCATCAGCCAGAGCTAGTCCTCCTTTAACCGTGATGAAATTGATGCCGGCTTCCTCATGAATGTTCACGTCAAGCTGGCATTGAGGATTAAATGAAGTAGTTAAAGTCTCTGACAGTGACAGGTGTAAATACTGTAGCATTACTTTTCTCAGTAATCTCTTAAAAGACCCCAAAATGAAAGACACACCTTGAAGTCTTTGACAGGTTGCATGGGGCGAGCGTAGATTTGCAGTTCGTACTTGCCAAGCGTCCGTTTCAGCAGTTCTTCATATGTGAGTTCAAAAGTCACCTTTTTGTGAGCAGCCACAGCTACAGAGGTCTTAAATTCTTCCAGGGTCCTCCCTACAGAACTGTAACACAGACAAACATAGCACCTCCTTCTGGCTTGTGACCCTTTAAATTGAAACAATGTTTTCTTGTGATCCCTAATCAAAGGTTATGGGTGTGGAGTTTATAGTTCAACTAAAGAGTGATTTTGTTTTCATCCGATGGTTTCATTGGAAAGATTTCAGAAACCTGAAGATGCGAAAGCAATCGGTATATGCAAGAGAGTACAAAAAATTGAGAAAAGTTAGAAACAAATAAACAAAATTATGTGCAATAGAGAATTTTTTAATTGAGTCATTGAAACAAGTACCTGACAAGGCCTGCACTTTCCCCACGGGACACAGCCTCAGTGTACTGCTGCTGAGCTTCCTCCTTAGCTTTCACAACGCCATCGAACACCTGGCCATCCATAAACCTGACAAAGACCAAGGAAAAGTACTGTACATACTGTACATACTGCTGAGCAGCCTGTGATTTATTTTCATCTCTTTAATGTTCACAGATCAGTTTTGCTTTACACACATTCTGAATTTACTGATGAAGGCATTCTTGGGAATCCGGACTTGGAATTCTATTTCCTTTGACTCATCCATACGATTGGCCACACGACTTGTGATGACAGTGGTAGCATAACGGCTGGTCACTGTGGAGTTGATGTGAAAGCTGTAGATGTCCCAGTCATCCTGTGCAAATACAGAAAGCACATTTCACAATAAAAAAAA